ATTTCATTTGGCATATTCTTACCCAAATAAAAATAATATTAAATTGAAGGAACTCGATATATACGCTTAAAAATGAGGCTATATTGAAGCTTTTAACGTGGAATGTAAAGAGTAAAAGTCCAAATTCTTCTCTACCGTATGAACGGTAACTAAAAACCCATGACTTTATGAGAAAACTGTCACCTAACCCGAAGAAAAAATATGGTCGAGGTTCAAAAAAATTGATATCTCTTAAACAAGACCCTTGGTTTAAATTTTGTGAGAGTGTTTAGATTAACACTAGTAAAAGTAAATGTTCTTTCAATTTACTTTTATAAACTGAAATTGATGTAAAAGTCAGTAAATATAATATGATTTATATTTTGATAGATTTTATAAAATTTAACAAAAATTGAGCATGTTTAGATGATATATTACAAAGCTAGTTTCAAAAGGGTTTAAATATTAAAAAAAAAGTCAGATGCAAAAAATCAGAAATTAGAAAAAAAAAATTCGACTTTTAAAGTGATCTTTGAACAAAAATTCAGTACTCTTTAAAATTATGCTAAACATCACTTTTTATCTAATTAGTTTTTTGGTTCAAATTGACCTCATTTGTAAACTCTACAAATGATATTTTATAATTAGGACCAGAGTTAGTGTATATTTATATGCTTTCTATTAGTCTTCAATAATATTTAAATATAAATTAGTTGTTAATTGTTACCAAATAATTATCAAGTAGTGATAAAAAAATCATTTCAAATTGAAAATTTCTAAAATTGCAAACAGATTTTCACTTCAAAAGCATTAAATAATTGCATAATTTTGAATATAAAACATTTTTCAATCCAACGTATGCCTAGCAAATTGGGTGGGTTTTTGTTTCTCCATTTCCCACATAGGGATGCAGACTTATACATGTTTCACGCGCTTGCAATGATAAAGGCCAATTATCCGTCCAAAACTGGGTTACTTCTAAACTGTGGCCAACGTTGCTGAACTGGCGGAGGTTCAGGTTTTGGTTCATCATATTATAAAGAAATAATTATTTTTCTTAAACTTAACTTCAATTGGTAAGTTGATTAAGGGGTATTTGAATAGAAACTAAATCATGATTTCAAAAGTACTTTTACAGTTTACAAAATAAATATGTGGAGGAGTTTGTCTCATTTTACAGAAAAGTACTTTTAAAAGTTGCCAACACTCCCTTAAATCAGTGTATTGGAAATCTAGTCTTCTAATCTGTCTAATCAAGAATTGAGTAGATGGACTAAAAAAATATTGAATTATATGTATTGAGCTTGAAAAGAGTTAAAAATAATTATGTTAAATCTGTGTCTTGATACTATCAAAAAAAAAAAATCTGTGTCTTGATAATTCTGTTTCGTTAGATTATGTGTGCTTTTTCTATGAATAAAGATTAATTTATTGAAGACTAGTTCACCAATATGCTAATCTAATTGGGCCACGGCCTGACAACTGAAGTCTAGGGAGATGGATTAATCTCTCGTAACATGATAAACTAATATTTGAATTCCTGTTAAAAGAGATACTCACATTTAGTACCTAATAGTATTTTGATCATAATTATCTCTAATAAAAAAATACATGTGTTTACAAAAAAATTAATAAATATAAAATATAAAATATATGAAAATTTTATATCTAGAATCAAAATCAACTTCTTAAGTTCTTATACGTAGCATGGGAAGGGGATAGATATTATACCTATTTTTTTGAAGCATTAGTGTACGGACACATCTCAATCCCCTATCCATATGCTCATGAAACACCTTTTGTTAGGCCACGACGCACTAATAATTCGACGGCATAATTGTTCAGTTTTATTATTGCAAGTCGGTGTACATGATTAAATTCTTTTTACAACGAAAAAGTACTAAGAAAATTCCTACATAAAAACTCAAAAGAAATTATTTATTAAATGTTTATCATCGGTGATCTGATCAGCACTTCAGTTCGATTTTTTGGGAATAATTAGATTTTAACTTAATAAATTAGAAGTTTATATGTCTTTTGTGCATACTTGTTTTTGCTAAAACTTATTTTCTGACATTCTCTTTATATTTAATATTTTAAGGGTTAAAGTACAAATTTACTCAAAAAAATTTTATTCAGGAGAGCTGATTACCTGGAAGTTTAAAATTATAGAAATATTACCTCCTACAGTTAAAATAATAATAATAATGTTGATTGTTGACATTTTTAATAATAAAGATAATATTATTATGATTTTAAATTGGGAAAATCCCAAAAAAGTTACTATTGAATTTCAAAATGCCAAATCAGGAATTACTATAAAAATGGGTTATCATTTGCTTTTTGAATGTAGTCATTTTCTTTATGAGTGTAGTAACGAGTACTGATTTGAAATTTTGAAATTTAACTATCACTTTTTGGGATTTTCCCTTTTAAATTCTTATGTTAAATTTGCAGCAAAATTTTTTTTCAAGTGCCGAATATTGAAAAATTTTAAGATTAATTTACACTTTAACCCATATTTCTATTATCAAGAAAGATAAATTATTACTTCCTTCTTTCAGCATTATATGGTATTAATAAGTTGAACTGATCAAGACTGAATTCACTATTAACTTCTCGTCTAGCTGCCAATCCAATCTAGCTCGGGTTGTTCTTATCCCAAAAACACTCCTAAAAGAAAATTTAAAAATACAACAAGTTGATTTTATTTATTAAAACAAATATAATTATTTCCATATAAAATATATTATTTGTAGATTGTTATGGGCATTTAATTTATGCATGTAATTTGGGTTATTATTTGTAATTTTTAGGGTATTTGATTCCAATTTTCATTTTTTGAATGAGTTAATAAATTGATTATACATCATACATACATGCGTGTGTAACTTTAAGTGGTTAGGACTTGTGAGTTGTAACGTTTGAAAGAATTTGAAGAAGAAATAGGGATTGAAATGGCTCGTAAAAAAAAAAGATTTAAATGAAAAGAAATTTTTTATTATACAATCAAGCTCAAGCTATTGGATTTTATAAGAAATTTTCTAAAATTTTTATGATTACGAGTATTACCTTCAACCCTAAATATTAGTTCCGCTTCTTAATAAAACCCAATTGATAATTTAAGACTTAAATAAATTATTATAAAGTATTATATTTATTGTTTTTTCCAAACTAATTTGCTCAGCTTATAAATTGGTGTAATCTAATGATATATATAAATATCTTGAAGAGATCATATAACATATATTATAATTAAATAATCTTTTTAAGATTTTTAATTTTTTCAATTTAGTTAACTTGATTTTATATTAAAAATCAGAGACAGCATAAGATCTTATACTAGTTGAAAATTTCTTTCTTTCTTTTTTTTGACTAGGTACATGTATCCTTCCGTTGAAGATAATCATATTCAAGATATTGTTGTAAGAAGTTAGCGTACTCTGCTACATTTAATCCTTATTGGTTGAAATTTTCTTTTTTCAATAATGTGCTTTATTTTTTTCTCGGTACACAATAATGTACTTTATGCCGTTTATATTGAAGAAAACAAAACAAGCCCAATCCAAGTCAAACATCCCTCATCAGCATCCCTCAACAGACAGCGCTAATTAAGGACACAAAAACAAGTCTTCATGTTATGAGAGAGTTTCGTTAAATAATCCACGGAAAAATTATCTTCCCTAAAAGTATGAGAAAACAAGATCAACGGCATAAATAAATTATAAAAAGTATCTTTTCATTTTTTTTTATTAGTAAGGGCATAAATAAGACAATATTCACCTATCTTTATATAATTAACTTTACTTCATCTAGTGATTTCTTCATTTATGTTGGCCAAAAAAAAAGTGACGAGGATAATAATTGTCAAAATTTCTAGAGAACAATTAAAAAAGAATAAATATATAGAAATGGTGTGATCAATAGGGAAAAAATACTACCTCCGGTCTTAAATATAAAAGCTAGCGAATTAATTCGAGAAGATTAAGAAAATAAGTGAAGTTAGTTATTTGTAATAAATAGGTATTGTATTTCCTTACTATTATTATAAGGACTACTTTGAAAATATATCCTTACTAATTAAATATATTGGTTAGAGCTACTATTATTACAAGGACCACTTTGAAAAAAAAATATAAATATGAAAGACAAAATAGATTAAAATTTTATATTTAAAACCAAAATAAAAATCAATCGAAATTTTATATTAAAGACGGAGGTAATATATACTTGAAGAGAGGAAAATCTAAAGAAAGGGAAGAGAAAAAGTTGTGATTTTATATTCCAACACTCAACCTAAATACGGTGAAGTTTATTCGTTCTAGAAGTTTAGAAATTGTAATATCTTACCTATTATCTGGTCCTACGTGTTTCCTTTACAGTACTACGTAGTACGTAGGAGGATATGTGTCAGACGGTTGAAGATGTGAAATATACCGTGATTCCTTTTTGTCAACCCCACTAAATATCACCAATAATTTATTTTTAATACTCTCTCCACGTACAAATATTGCAACTTTACACCTAATTTTTAAATATTATAAAAATTAATATATTAATTTTTTTAAATATATCCTTCTTAATTATTTGCAATGAAAATATCATTCATTTCATTGAAATAGCCCCGTAGTATTTGTGCAATCAATAAAAATAATTTCAAAAAATTATAAATCTGATTATCAATAAAACTAATTAAAAGCATTAAAACTGTCTTCTCTCATTACTTATACTAAATCTTAATATCATATTAATTTATATTTTCTCACTACCCTCACTAAATATGAACATGTATTAAAAAATATATTTAATACTCATTAAAAAAGGTCTTATAAAAAGAATAAAAATTTTCTTTTAAAAAGGCTTCTATCATCAGTCCAAGAGGGAGCATTATACATTCTTCTAGAGAATTTGTCATCCAAACCCATCCTTATCTTTCAGGCCGAAAAAACGCACCCTTATCTTTGACACTATGCCCCTCTCGCATGTCAGCTGATTGACCAGAACTAACCTCTAGGACTAGGTCCAATGATAAAATCTAGAAATATATAAAGTAGAATGTTGGGATAATTTTTTAAGATTAGCACCATCTTTCCTTAATATGCATGAATTTAAAATATCCTATATTTAGGACCGAAGCAAATACATTGTAAGCATCCGACTAATCTGAGCTCTCTGGCAAGAAAAACAAAACCTAATCTCAGCCCTTCTTTTTGCAGCTTTGGCTCAAAATTGACATTCAACCAATGTGCGTCTCTTCTCATAAGAGACCTTTTCTACCATTTTTGCTAACAACTTCGCTTCTTCATATTTGTATATTGGGTTGAAAATTGGTCATTCAACCAACATGCTTCTCTTTTCAGAAGAGACTCTTTCAACCATTTTGCCAACAGATTTGCTTTTTTGGCTGTTGTTGCCACTGCTACAACTACTATCTCTCCTAGTGACAAACCGCTGCATGATCCGTATAGGAATTCCACCCAAATCGAAGTCTTCCTTCAAGGATTTTGTTAAGAATCTTATGTCTGTATCGGAAAGCTCAGTCTTTCCACGCAGGAATGCAACAAACGTCGGCGGCCGTGCCTTGACCTGCGTGAAATACTTGACCTTCGGCTGAGCTGCTTGATCTTTCCAAGAATGCCGGCTCATAACCTAATAAAACCAATATAAGATATTAAATGTTGATAAACAAAAGCAATGGACAGGTTTATTAACAATGTCACATGAAAATACATCATTTAATTGTTAGGATGGAAAGCAAATGAAACGAAAGGCAAAATCCCATTTTTGTTATCTTGTTAACAGGGAGATGACAAAGTAATCTAACATATTTATGTGTATTTCCTTCCTTTTCCTTGATAAAACGAGATAAGAGATGAAAAATGTCTATTTTTTCACTGTACCATGCCAAACAAAATGGTAACTAACTCGTCCACACTCTCTCTATCCTTTCTTCTCCTTTCTCTTCCGCTCTTTTTCTTTCGTTCCAATGATATTAAACAATGCATTAGTGATAGATTATAATTACAAAAAGATTAAACTTAGGGACCTATGAATAATTTCATATAATTCCTAATATTTACCTTAAGCAACCAACGATTCAGGCGTGCTGTAGGTAACCTTGAACACCATTTTTCGTATGTATCAATAACCTGCCGCAAGACGGCTGTCCGGCCTCTCCCCTCCACAGCTGAAGTGAATATAACTGGGATTCCTGTTATCTGCAGACAATAGCCAAAAGTCACCACAAAACCATAATAAAACTGAATGGTAAGGTAAAATAATACTCATCCCCCACATGAGGAGATACCAAAATGGTTACATAGTCTAACTTCATTATATGAAAGCAACAAAAACAAAACGGCAGTTATACTTAAGCACTAAACCCTAGATACACCATCTAAGCTTGCACATCATAATTCACCATCTAAAGAAAATTGCATTGTACTAACAGATTTTTGTACGCGCAAGGCTTCCACAGTCAGCACTAACACATCCCCAATGTCATTTTTCAGCAATTCTGACCCAACGTTATATACTTTACAAACAGTTCGTGCCTGAGAGAGTTGTGAATGACAAGGGTGAGGATAAACATTTTCTGCATTCTCTTTGAAGCCAGTTAGAAAGAGAGTCTTTCACTATTAATTTGTTCCCTCCGATTGAAAACACCTAGATTCACAAGTAAGAATTTTTCCTTGTTTGAGTCAATTATGTTCAATCTGCCAAATGGTCAGAGTCTCAGAAGAAAATTAGGAAATGACATAAGAGATTGTGTGGTTGATTTGAGCGATGGAAAGAGACTGTTGGACGGATTTTCTTTCTTTCTTTCTGGACATGAGATTTCTCTTCTTTTTGAACCATGAGGTTTAAACAGCATATCCAAATATATGATTTTGGCAACTATGAAAAAAATTGATAATACTTCAAGGCAATGTGATGATATTGTAACAAATAAAGGAAGTTAGTTAAGGGTTAGTTGGGTTAATAATGAGAGATGACCATTGGGAGCTAATGGCTATAAATAGATGGCTTAGGGACTGATTGTAATCAGGCTTTTGGTAAATGGAAATGTGATCACCCTGTTTCTCCTGTCTCCGTCTTATATCTCTTTCTCGGTATCTTGCTGTCTCTCTTCTCTAGCTTCCTCTCTTTCCCTCTCTCTTATGTCAGAATTACAAACAGCCAAAACAATGGATCTTAAATATATCAAACATTTGGTTTATTAGAAACAAACCTGAGGTATAATTGTCTGAATTTCTTGAGGAACAGCTTCCATAACCTTCTTGTATAATGAAGATTTTTGCTTCCCTCTAAGAAGATCCATCTTGTTCACAATCACAACCAGACCACGTCCCTCTTCTACTGCTCGTCTAGCAATAACTACCTCAGCGTGTTTCATACTTCGTCTGGCATTTGCAATCTAGCCAATAAAATTTGCAGGATAAGTTTATTAATAAAGGATGTGATAAGCATATAGAAAGGGAGACACATATTAGATCATGAAATTCTACAGTGAGGATATGACAATCCGATTGGTCATTCACCTAGCAAAAGTCAACCACTAGCCTATATACGGTTATTCCTAATTCACACATCACCCACATTACAATGTTCACCAAATGGGTGAAACAGTAAGAAAGATACTGAATAACATGCATGTTTTTCAGAAAAAGCATAACTGAAAAGATAACACAAAGCACAATTAGCAAAATTTGAGTATCAAATCAGGTAGAACCTTTCAAGCAATAAATGAGTTTACGGAAACAATAAAATTTCATTGATAAACGATAGACCTCATGAGAGTGCAACTTTGCATGCCAATTGTAGTCTGGTAACATTACAGTTGAATTGCTCAAACCTAAACCCACAGTATACTTGGCATACCTCTTCAGCATCAAGTACCAAAGCAATTATATGAGCCCTGAGCAGATTCTTTCTTGATTGCATGATGCTCAAGGAAGATGGCCCTTTATCTTGTTTTGTCCTCTGCAGCCACCCAGCGGTATCCACCTGAATGACCAGAAATTAAATGTAAATATTATTGTACCATGTTTTGAAGATTATAAAATGATCTAATGCCACAAGAACATATAAAAAGTATAAAGAAAGTAACGTGTCCTATAACTAGAGTCAAGGTTCATACTTCGCAGAAATATTTCCACCTCCTCCAATTATACCACAACTCTAGAGCCAACACAAAAGGGAAATTAATGCGTACATACAAGATAAATATTTCTGCCTTGAAATTCAAATTGGGTTCTGATTGAATCTCTTGTCAGACCAGCTTCAGGACCCACAAGAACACGGTCTTCTTGTAACAATGTATTTAGTAAGGTTGATTTCCCCACATTGGGGCGTCCCACGATTGCTAACTGCAATGGAATTTTACTTTCATCAACCTCAGTGGAACAGCTGTCTTCACCGTGGCTATCATCCTGAGTTCCTTCATGCACAATTATTCAAAATTGAATGAATTCAAGGCAGAAAGATGGCAAAGCAACAATTAAACTTGATGAGATCAAATTTGCATATTCATCATCTCATAAAAAAATGATTAATACATTATTGGCCAAACAACCCGCTCCAATGAAAAGAAAAGACACATACATCACATAGTGATCAAAGTTTAAAACCTATTCAATTAACAGGTATAATAAGTGCGTAGTAATCACATTTTCATCATCAGATGGGAAAATCTACTCTAAAACTGGGGTTATCTTACCATTTAAGACTTGAAGCATATAATCCTCCAGAACAGGCCTAAGAGACTGATACAAGTCTGGCAAACCCAACCCAGTCTCTGCAGATATGGCAATAGGTTCCCCAAATCCTAAACGGAACATTTCAGAAGCAGCTGCCATAAGAGAACCACTAGCATCAAAGAGTGATTCACATTTATTCATCACTACAATAGGTTTGATTTGAGGTGCATGTTTGCGCAGCCATTTTCCAACCTCCAAATCAAGAGGATGAAGTCCAAATCTGGTCAGAAAAGTCAATAATAAATGGAAAAAATATTCAAGCAAAATCAGAATTAGCACTTTGCATTAAAGAGTTGCAATTCAAAATTGTAAGGATTGGTGACAAGACGTCAGTTACATTTAAAATATGAAATACAGAAGTGTTTTTTTCCTCTGGTTTTCAAATATATTTAAGTTTTAATGTTCATAGCACATGGTCGCCTAAGCTCCCATAAGTATAATGCAGATCATCAAGCCAGACAGCAATCAGACAACTTAATTCATGCAAAAAGGCTTATATATATGCAATTCATATTTAAAACTAACCTTCCATCTGTCAGAAAGATTGCAAACTGAGACCTAGATAATACACTAGCAGTCATTCCTGCTGTTCTGTGAAGGATTGACCCCAAAGTCGCTTCTGCTTCTAATCCAGCTGAATCTAACACTTTAAACCGTAAATCACCCAACTTGGCAACCCCTTCTCGTATGTCCCGAGTAACATGATCATCAGGTGTGTTATATACCAGAGCCTCCCTCCTCCGGATCAAACTAAAAGTTATCATCCACACAAAAATGTGATCAGAGTTCAACGTTGTGTATCTTGCCTTAATTGACAGAAAACTAAGGATCTACCAAAAAAAGTACTCACCGGTTAAACAATGCTGACTTCCCTACATTAGGGCGACCGATGATCATAACAACAGGGAGCTTAGCAATTTCGATTTTAGTGAAATCCACCGGTTTTTCATATGTTTTCTTGGTCACTAAACCATCACCAGAATCATCATAAGACTTCTCAAAACAGCCTATCGTGGTACAACCATCATCTAAGTCAGCAGAAGACTTCACCGAATGGTTTTCAGTTTCAGTAGCGTGCAAATCAGATTCAATCAGTTTCTCCCCAGCAAGGGTACAAAATCCCCTGTCATGCAGAACCGAACAAGAAGTACGAATAGTTGAAATAATCAAGCCACCATTGCAATCCAAATAGTTTGCTGCTGAGCCGTGTATGAGCAAACGATTAAAAGGTTTTTCTGCAAAGCAACAAGCTGTCAATCATCAAATAAGTTTAACCCATCTCCTCCCAAAAACAACATGATCTTTAATTACTCTTGGAAATTGCGGTCTCATAACAGAACAGGAAGCATACACCAGGAAAAAAAAAAAAAAAACGGAGGGGCGTGGGGAAGAAGGATTCATCACATACCGAAGATAATTTTGGCACCGAAGGAGTGCCTGTCTCTGATAGAATCAGATATTAAGTTACTCAAGTTCCTCTGTAAAGCAGCACGTCTACATAGTAGACCAAGACCATTAAGCCTCCGGACCAAAATGGCTCCCAACAAGAAATGAGACATCCCGAGTATCAGCTTTTACATCGACGGATGATCAACCCAAGAAGTGCTTCTCTACAAGTCGCATGGTGATATTACTATGCCACATATGCAATAAAGCAATGGCCCCAAAAGGATGTAAGATTGAATTTTTACTTCGAATCTCAACTTTTTACTTCCACTGTTAGGCTCTTTTACAGTTGTTCCACTAGCTCCACCACAAGCCTTTAAAGGTGGAAGCTATCACCCTGAAATGTTGAACTTGACTTAATCATACAACTATTCTATTAAACCCGCGAGGGAGGTGGCTCGTTAGGAACCTGCAAAGCCCCAGGTTATATGCTTAATTGCCTTCGTTGCCCCTACACGAACCAGGAAAAGATGAACTACAGAGGAATATCACACGCCTTTAGTTGCTCCTGCGTCTTTTCTGTGTCTTCTGCATCCCGTGTCCCACATCGTTCGCCGCTTGTTCCGCCGCAGCTGGTCACGCCGTCGAGAGCAAGAAACGAGAAAGTGTACCCCGTTTGGTATGTACAGTTTGGGATTTGATTTTGTTCGTGTGTATATGTTGGAAAAGATGTTCAAATTAGAGCGTCTCATTTTCCCAGTCTTCCATAAACCGCTAAACCCCCTGCTTCCGGATCTATCCGACACTCGACCCGGCGAAATTGGAATAAGCGGGGTAGGCCCAGAAGTGGGATCCGGCGTGCGAGCAAATTACATGTCGTTTGATCATGATTTGAGTGCCAGTACACGTAGGCGACTAATCTTTCATAACATAATAAACTAATATTTAAATTTCTGCCATATGACTTTAAATAGAATTGCATGGCATAAAAAGAGAATGTTTATGCATAGCTAAAAAAAAAAGAGTGCCAATTAATTCTAATGAAAATATGAAATGAGTTTTGCCTATTTAAACATAAGTACTCCTCCGATCTTTAATATAAGACCCATTTAACTAATTTGATTAGATTAAGAAAGTTAGGTAATGGCCCATTTGGATTAGTGATTGGAAAAGTAGTTTATTGGAAAAGTGGCTTTTGGAAAAGTGAAGTTGGATATAAGCTAAATTAGATAAACTGAATTATGTTTGGATTGAAGTTCAAAAAAGCCAATTTGCAAAAGTAAGATTGGTAAAAGGTTATTTGGATTATAGTTGAGTAAAAGTAAGTTTAGTTGTAAAATGACTAAAATGGGTGTGAGTTTTAATAAATAATGAAACATGATTAAAAAAATAATTTCACATAATACAATAAAATTAAAAGAATTCAATATGAAGAAGTCAAATTTAATGAGTGAATTAAATTTTAAAATTTTAGAGAAATCATAAAAAATAATTTAAATATAAAGTGAAACATGGAAAAAAATGAATTGAGATAATACAATAAATTTAAATTAATTTAATATGAAGAAGTGAAATTAATTGAGTTAATTAAATTTTAAAAACTTTAGAGAAAATGCTCTGAAAAAAATAATGCAGAAGGGAGAGAAAGAGGGAATAAAAATTTGCTGAGTGTGTCAGAAAGGTAATGCAGAAGTGGGACAAAATAAGCTTTTCATAAGCTCCATTCTCTGGCTTATTTTAAACGTACGACTGGCCAGCTTAAATTTTCATAAGCCCAATACAACAGACGTCCTCCCAAACAACACCTCCTAACTAAATCGGGCTTATCTGTATTTTAAGCCACGTTTGGATCAGCAATACTGATCCAAATAGGCACTCAGTTAGTTAATTACAAGAAATAAACATAATTTTCCTAAAATACTATAATCATCTTTTTTAATATCCTCTCTTCTCTACTTGATTATAGTTAAGGGAGTATTCATAGGGATAATTTAGAGAAAACTGATAAATATGAAAAATAGGTCTCATATTTAGGACCAAAACTAATTTAACAATTGAGTCCTATATTAAGAACCGGAGGAGTGTTTGAGTTGGATTTGGCATATATTAATATTTAAAAGTCAAACCCAGTATCAAGTTGAAAAAGTTAGCGAGACAAAATTCATCCACTCTGAACAATAGTAAAATCAGTGGTATAATAATTGGATAAAAAATAATATGATGAATTTATATAATAATATATGTATATAAATAATTAACAAAGAATTGGGCTAGCAATGTAATGTCTTACTAAAGGCCATTTGGAACTCGGACCAATGATACAATCTACGCCTGAAATCATTGGTATAAACGTGAAGAAGTCCCATATCAAAAGTTTTGACAAATATTAATGGAAAGGTTAGTTTTTTTTTATAGAGAAACCACAGATGGATTAAAAGGTCTTTTATCAAAGAAATCACATTGATTAATATTGCTCTTCTTGTTCTCTTATTACATCATTTTTACCATCCAAATTTATTTTGAAGATCAGTATAGTAATACTTCCGGTCTTAATTATAAGAGTCAGTTAACTAATTTGAGGAGATTAAAGAAGTAAGTTGAGTTAGTTATTTGTTCTAAATAGGTGTTGTCTTTCCAAAAATATCCTTGCTAATCAAGTGTATTGACAAGAACTATTATTGTTAGAAGGGATATTTTGGAAAAAAAAATGTATAAATATGAGAGACACAAAGCGGATTGGGTTCTTATATTAGGATCAAAATAAAACTCAAATAAGGTTTATATTAAAAATCGGAGGTAGTTTTTTTTGAATTTTTATATTCAAATATATATGAGTTCATACTTGGCATCAAATTTAAAGAAAATTATTCATGTATTTAATGAGTTTCCTATAAAATTTATATTGCATATAAATAATACTACCTCCAGTCCTATTTAAGAACTAGTTGACTAATTTGAAAAATTAAGGAAAGAATTAAGTTAGTTAGTTGTAATAAATAAGTGTTGTCTTCCTAAAATATTCTTACTAATCAAGTGTATTGGCCAGAATTGTTATTGTTAGAAGGACTATCTTAGAAAAAATGTATAAATATAAGAAACAAAATAGATTAGCGTCTTATGTTTATGACCAAAATAAAAATCAAACAAAATCTTATATTAAGAACCGGAGGTAGTAATTTTTCTGGGCCACAAATTAATAATTTTTCAAAAAATAATTTTCATTTGAATAATATCTCTAAAATAAGAAGTATATATTATATTATACAAAATAAGTAAACCAATATAATTTGAGTTTGATATTTTGATGAGTTTTTTTTTTTACCATCATATTTGATGACTATTTAATGGCATGTCCGGCTTAAAAAAATTATGAATTATAAATACTAAGGGTTCGTTTGGATTGTAGTTGGAATGCCAAAAGCACACGGAAAGCGTGAAACTGAGGTTTGTGACTTTATGCAGCTCAGATGATTGTTTGGATTGAGCTTCGTTTCTAAACTGACTTATGAAAAAAAGTAACTTTTCTAACTGACTTATCCAACACAATCTGGATCAACTTTTCTAACTGACTTATGTAAAAATTGTGCCAAAGCTTACGATTTAATTAGTTATGTGATTCTATTTACTTTAATTAGAGACCAATAAATTTTAATTTATATTCATGTTTGTCATTATGTATATTTAATTAATTATCTACAATAATTTCAAATTTTCTCCTTAACAAATATTTTTATTTTATAATTTTACAAATAAACTATTTATATTTTATCATAATAATTTTATGTGTTCTTTTAAATTATTATCACAATAAAAATATAAAATTTCAAACACTACTCCATATCCTTTTTAGTATTTTACAACTAAACTAACTTTTCTATTAATCATCCAAACAACTTTTAACTTTTTCAACTGACTTTTTAAAAGCATCTATCCAAACATAAATTGCATTATACTAACTGACTTTTACTCTAACTTTAGTTACAAAAGTCAATTGGGTTAGAAGTCAGTTTTGCCCAACGCCAATCCAAACATACCCTAATATGATACTAGGATTTTTGGTAGAATTTTTATATTAAATATATATAGGAAATAAAATTATCTAAATTTTTTAAGTCAACCATTTAATTTGGGTTAGCTTCGGAGATTATTTCATTCTCGAATCCGTCGTCTGCAGGAGGAGAAAACCCAACTGTCTCGTCACTCGCCATAGTGGCAAGCTTCCACTCTTTTCTCAAGTCTATATTTATGTCTCTGCAATGCTTCTTTTCCGTTTCGATCACTCCTCTCCTCACTTCCTCTAGATTCTCTTTGGATCCGCAGTGTCCCGTCTCCCCAAATCTGCTGGAGTTTGAGTAAAAAAGAGGAGAAAAAACCCTAGGCCTATAACTATTGCGAGCGACAGAAAACTTATTCAATTTTGCTTTTTGCTTGAATTATTTGGGGATTCTGCGTCAGAAGGAACATTTTGTAGTTCTTTACTGGAATTTGAACTGGGATTTTTGGGTTGGGCGTATATAATAGTTGAATTCGAAAATTTTGTGCTTCCTGTTCTGAGTGATTATGGAAGGCTTGTCGTCGCATCCATACCTCGAACAGTAGAGGAGGTTTTTAGCGACTTTAAGGGCAGAAGAGCTGGAATGATTAAGGCCCTTACTACGGGTTCGCTCTCTTCTTCTTCTTCTGAGTTTCGATAATCAAGAAAAGTCTTGTACAGTTCTTGTTTTACTCATATTGTTCTTCTGAGCTTTTTGTTGTCTTTCTTTTTGCAGATGTCGAAAAGTTCTACCAGCAGTGCGACCCTGGTGGGTTACCTCAATATTCTTTTCCTTTATTTATTTATTTATTTTTTTTTGTTTTTTGTCCCCCTTTTTTTTTTCCTGGGATTTCATCCTCCATAGATTGTAGGTGATTTTCTTAGAGCATATGTTTCACTCATGTTTGTTTCACTTTGGTACGTGTGCCTACTGGTTGTAGCGAGGGCTGTCTTGAGTAGTGTGAAATTTAAGCTATTCATTCGTGGTTTTAAGCTTCGGTACTTGTTTGTGTTACTCTGGCACAAGCTCACAGCATTCGCTTAATAAATACTTGTAGCGAGGGCTCTCTCTAGAAATACTTGTCCATGATTCAGTGATTGCTGAGGAACTTCTCCCTACCATTTCCGACCTGGCAGATTGGTTAAGAATATTTTCTGCTCGGTGTCATTTTGGAGGACCCTCGAGCACTGCGTGGGGTAGTGTTTTCATTTTGCTCTAAACTATCCAAAATAATTTTGTTGGTTAACACGATGCAACAAGATATAATTGCATGTCATACCACCATTGTTATCTTTATTTTTTTTCCTGGGAGCTTGTATTCTATTTGGCAGCTGAAGACTCCTCTGTCTTTATACTAGTAGCATTGTTGATGCTATGGATTCTTCTTTAAAGTTTAAGTGATTCTAGTGGCTTCTTAATATTTACTTCCCTGTGATACCATCAGTCCCTTATGGAGAAATTGATGCTTGATACTCTTACGGTGTTTGTTGGATACAGTGCGTTATTTCTTAATCCTAAATTGTTCTTTTGGTAGAGAAGGAGAACTTGTGTCTATATGGATTTCCTAATGAAACATGGCAAGTGAATTTGCCAGTTGAGGAAGTGCCTCCTGAACTTCCTGAGCCAGCTTTTATAAACTTTGCTAGGGATGGGATGCAAGAAAGGACTGGTTATCACTTGTTGCAGTTCACAGTGACTCATGGCTGCTTGCTGTTGCTTTCTATTTTGGTGCTCGATTTGGCTTTGGTAAGAATGAGAGGTAAGGGTCGTAACTCCTATTATGTTACTATGTAACATGTTTTTATTCTTTTGAAGCCTTGAAACGTTACTTTCCCATATTCATTTTGTTTTGTGTAGTCGTAATTCTGGATTTCTTTTGTACATTTTTTTTGCTGGCCAGAACTTCTTTTGCACATCTTAGTTTAAAATTTTTTTTAATTTCAGGCAAAGCGGAATGTATATAGTGAAACAAATTATGCAATATATTAATTAATTACTACCTCCAGTATTGCACTACAATGTGGATCTTATATTTCAGACTGGAGGTAGTATTTTGAAGGAATTTTTCAGTCAGCTGATCTATTGTTATATTTTCAATATCTTAAATATTTTGTTCTATGTAAGTATCAATAAGACTGTTATATGCACAGACAAACATCACCATGGGTGAGCATAACTCATGGAATAATTGAGATGATACATCATTGAGCTAATTCAATTTTAGTACTTGCTTTTAGATTCTTCGTTTAAGTGCTTTTTGTGCTTTATGTAACTGTAAATATTGAATCATAGAAGACCTTGTTTCGTGCCTATTTATGCTAATTACAAGAATAACTTGTTAGCTTCTCTTTGTTCTGTGGATTCTCAACCTTGCTTGTCTTTTATGTTTCTATATATTATCTTAGGAACTGGATAATAACATAAAACATTTATTTTATTTGCTCTCTAGTGTAGCTTCTATTTTGTTGACACTGTTCTCATGTTATAGATCCCTTCACTAATGTCTTTGACCTCATGGGACCTGGAACCTTTTGAGGCTTACGTGATATTTAAAGTTTTGAGTGTGCTTTTGAATTATAATTATGGGGTGATGCCATGATGGGGATGTAGCACTGTTGAAGTCTTCAATCCAATTTCGAACTTCTGAATAAAACTATGTTTGGGATTTCTTTTTGAGTAAAATATTGTAATGTAAAATGTATGACTTTAAGTTGTAACTAAATGCCCTGTTACATGAATGAAAAGCAAGAGTGTAAAGAATATTATTATATTTCACTTTAAGGCGTGGTGATCTGTCAACTTGCCTTCTTTTAACGACGTACTGTCAAATGTAGCCCATGTTATGATTAGGTCTGGATCCATATTGATTGTGCTTGTCACTTCAACTCAATTTTTTCCCCTTTAAATCTTCTATCACTTTGCCGTTGAAGGATGCTGTTGTATTATTGTAAATGACGGACTTAGCTGATGGGATTAGTTACTTGTGAAGAACAGGGAATGTCTACAAATAGGAACACACAAGGCTGTGTAAATGATTCTGATCCCTAGTGAAATGTTCAGCGAAGATATTCAGCAAGCTCTTTCTCATCTCTCTTACCCTCTCTGTTTCCTATTACTCTCTTCCTCTCCCTCTTTCCCTGTTTATTCTTTCCAGATTACAAACCTACATCACATGTTTTGGGGATACGCCAAGTTCTTTTTTCTGGGGATACACACACTTGTTCCTCTCCCTCTTTCCCTGTTTCTCCTTTCCAGATTACAAACCTACATCACATGTTTTGGGGATACACCAGGTTATTCTGTCTGGGGATACACACATTGTTTCATAATTTTAATAAAAAAAATTTGTGCGGTTGCGATTCTCTGATCTGTAAATGTGGGAAGGAATTTCTGTATCTTCAAGGGTATATTTTTCTCTCCGAGATATGTAGTTACTTACCTTGGGTGCTTTCTTATTTGTACCTCTGCTACATCTATTAGCTATTTGGTAAGAGTCAGGCATTTCCTCTTCTGACCTACAGCTGCATTAGGGAGAGGATTAGTTAATTATGCATTGGTTAGAGTGGCAGATTGACTTTTAGGGACAATTAAGTAATAATTAATACTTAATATTAAATGTTGTGTTCTCTTATGTAGAATGACTTTGTTGATGTGCCGTTGCCCGTTTAGGAGGTAGTTTTATTTTTTATGATGTGTTGTGAATTGCCTATGGAGTTGGTTATGTTGCCATTTAGTTGTTTGAATCTATATCGTCTGTTTTGAAAGCATTATATGATGGCCTGACTTTAGTAGCACTCTTCTGAAGCTAACTGTTTTCTGTGGTCTTAAGCTAGATCTTTCATGAGCTTGAAGAAACTATTTGCAAGTCTTGCCTGTTCAAAGCTATATTATTTATGCATCTGCGGGGGAATTAATGCTTGTGTATGATTCCCCACCTAGGTTACAGTTTACTCGGTGAAGGATATGCTTCTAATTTTAGTTCAAATGGTTATATACAGGAAAAGGCTTTTTCAAATGATAAATGATCTCCCAACGATATTTGAAGTTGTGACAGGAAGTGCCAAGCAATCAAAGGATCATTCAGCTGCTCATAGCAATGGTAGCAAAAGCAAATCAAGTGGGAAGGTGGCTCACAGTATTCAATTACATTTTCTTGGTTTGTGTTTGTGTTTGTGTTGTTTTACTTACTGTTTGTGTGCTCCCTTCCAACAGTCTCGCCAATCTGAGTCACAGGCCAAGGTAGTGAAGATGTCACCACCACCCAAAGAAGACGATGAGAGTGGAGAAGAAGATGAAGATGACGAACAAGGTGCAACGTGTGGGGCATGTGGCGATAACTATGCAACTGATGAATTCTGGATCTGTTGTGACGTGTGTGAGAGATGGTTCCATGGAAAATGTGTCAAGATTACTCCTGCTAAGGCTGAGCACATTAAGCAGTACAAGTGCCCAAGCTGTAGCAACAAAAGGGCTAGAGTCTAGAAGCTCTAAATCACTGATTGAACAAAACAGACAAGGTTCAGAATGTTTGATAACAAATTTATCTAGATGTGAACTTTAATGATTTTGCAGACAGAATGTCAAGTTTTGCTAATGTTAATTTCTAAATCCTACTTCGTCTAATCTTTTTGAGAATTGTCTGTTGAAGTAAAACTTGCCTACAAAGATGTTGTCATCAATATATTCTGTAGTGCTGATGATCAGCCTAATTAGCATTGCCTGCGTACGGTTACGGTTTGTTATTCATCTCTTTATTCTCATGTGATATATTTTAAGGCTTGAAAGTTTAGAAATGAAAAAGCAGGATGCTGACACCTGATAGATGATATCAGTCACAACTGCATATCATCTTTTCAAGCATGAAGACCCTTTGAAGTAATCTTTGGCTTCAGTTTTCTAAGAGGCTCCAACTTTGAGCATTGCTTAAATGGAGCTACCATGAAGACGCCCAAGATTCATCTGCTGTGCTGAGATGATGCAGGAGTTTTGTTTCTTTTTTGCCATTTTGTGGTTTTCTTTCTGTTGAACACTGATCACAAGTTGTGGCCAGACTAGCTAGAAATTTTCTCCTTTTCCCATGTTTATTTTGAATTCTGGTGAGAGAGCAGCGGTTATGATCATAGTTGCAGTTAAAACATACAATTCTTTACTGATTGCTGTGAAAAAAATTTCAAATACCTTTTGATGTGAGGCGTCAAAAGAATGTTTGATACAGGCGTGGGGTGATGTTAATACTGTTCGTTTACTCTCGCTGCCCAATTTTTTTTTCCTTTTAATGCTGGAATACTGAAGAAATTCGAGTTTTGACTAAGGCTATGTCCTTAGAAGCCGCTTGATGGGTGACTCAACTTCATCAAAAATTATGTTTTTTTTTTTTTAATAGTATCGGCAATGAAGTTTTAGGATATCTTGTGTGTTGTGTAAATTAAAGGAATGAGCTGTGCTTTTTATGGATGAATAGTAGGCCTGTTTGTTAAAGAGTTATCATATTATATGTGGAGATTTACCAATAAGGGAAGATGATATTATTATTTTTCTATATTTCCATTTAAATATCATTTCGGTAAATTTTACAAAAGTTAAACATGCATGACTTATGGCGATGAAAATGATAAATATAAATAATGAAGTTATTTTATATTAACGACAAAATATCGAGGGAAAAAAATACCGTAACAAAGTTTGAATGAAAAATGATGTGGATTAAAGTGATTTAATTATCAATTTTCAAATTACAATGATCAAATTCAAAATTGAATGAAACTATAAAAACTACAATATGTTTCCCTACCAGTAATCTTTGCAAGAACAAAGCCCATCATTAAAACAGTGAAACCTGTTATTATCCCTTACAATTATTTTCCTTCCCTCCAATTTAGATATCATCTTGATGCTTGTATGACAGTCCTCACATATCCTTAAGTTCTTCACTACCCTTATTACTGTCCCCATCTCACTAACTAGTAGACCAAAACAAACAGCCAATTTCTCACTGTGAACTCCCACCATCTCTTCCCTCTCTTCTTCTTCAACATCCCTTAATACACAACTTTTATCTGCTACATATCCTGCATTTCTCATCTTAACTTTTAGACCTATCAGAAGCTTATAGATATCATCTGACCTTTCATGTGATCTGTCTCCCACTATGAACTTGTTCATTTGACCCTTATGTTCCACCCAACTCCATCCAGTTGATTTCTTCAGTCCTTGTTTTGTCATTGTTTTCCTAACTTTATCAACATCTTCCCACCTACCAGCTGAAGCATATATGTTTGATAGTAACACATAATTGCCTGAGTTATGTGGCTCAAGCTTGAACAGTTTTGCTGCAGCGAGTTCCCCTAGTTTGATTCGTTTATGAATTCGGCAAGCGCTTAGAAGGGAGCCATAGATTCCAGCATGGGGTTCCATTGGCATGGTTGAAATCAACTTGATTGCTTCTTCTAGTTTACCCACTCTGCCTAACAGATCAATCAAGCATGCATAGTGATCTACATCAGGAACTTCAATTGATTCAAAAACCTTGTGGCCTTCTAATAATAATCCTTCATGACTACATGCTGTTAGTGCTCCTATATAGGTTATCCTATCTGGTTTAATCCCTTCTTCGTTCATTTTTGACAGTAGATTTATAGCTTTATGTCCATGGCCATGGGCTGCATACCCTGAAATAAATGTGTTGTAGGAAACCACATCTCTGGTTTCCATTTCTTGAAATGTTCTTGTGGCATCTTCCATGCTGCCACATCTTGAGTACATGAAAATTATAGAGTTGTATCCTGAGATGGTGAGATTGATGTGATTTTCTTTCAGGATGCTCACAGCCCAATTACCCAACTCTAGTGCCCCAAGATGTCCACAAGCAGAGATAACACTAACCATAGTCACCTCATCAGGTCTTGAATCTTTACGGGAGATCATTTCTTTGAACAGGTCCAGTGCTGCGAGTGACTCGCCATTTTGAGCATAACCAGCAATCATAGAATTCCACGAGACAGTATTCTTCTCTGGCATCTCATTGAAGAGGTATTGTGCTGACGATAAATCCCCTACTCTTGCACATGCAGAAATCATGGCATTCCATGAGATAATGTTTCTATGCATACCTAGTTGATTAAAAATGTCCCGAGCAGCCTCTAGGTTCCCATATTTTGCATGCATATCAAGCAGCGCCGTCCTCACATAATAACTTGAATAATTTTTCTTTCTGTATAGCCTTCTGACTAGTGACTCAGCAATACAGGGATCCCCAAGAGATGAACAAGATGATATAACAGTAACCCATGTTGTTTCATCTGGTTCCATCCCAGAATCAAGCATGTCGTCAAACAATCTTAAAGTCTCTTCAGGAGCTCCACTTTGAGCATACCCTGATAACATTGCATTCCAAGACACCACAGTTCTCTCGGGCATCTTGTCAAAATACATCCTTGCACTTTCCAAATCCCTTAACTTGGCATACCCAGTAACCATAGTGGTCCAAGTAACAACATTCCTCTCAGAATCATTCATCAAATGAAAAATCCTCCTAGCTTCCTCCTCATTGCCCCACTTCCAACACCCACCAATCATCACATTCCAATCTGCAGCACTTCTCTCAGTCATTTCATCAAACACCTTCCAAGCAATTTCAATACCTTCATGTTTCGCATACGCACCCATGATCGCATTCTTCACATAACGCTCATCAACATGACCCAATTTCACTACATGAGCATGGAACATGAAGCTGGCTTTTCCTGCAGCTTTTATCAAAACTGGGAAAAAGGGTATCCCAGGAGGCTTTATACCAAGTGATTGCATATGTTTGTAGAGCAGAAGTACTTCAGTTTGGGCACCAACTTGAGAATAGTATTTGAGCATGGAAGTGAAGACATGAAGGTCAGGTACAGTAGCAGAACAGAAAACAGAACGAGCATAGGTGAATGGTGCGAGCAGGTTTGTGCAGTGGGAAAGCAATAAAGCCACCCAGTGGTTTTGGTAGTGAAGAGAATGGTGAATGAGGTGGGCATGGAGCTGTCTTAGATGATTGAGATTGGCTACTTTGGTGGCTATGTTGTTCAAATGTGACATGCCAAGGCACGTCCGTACAAGCTCTTGTTCTTGGCAACAAATATATACGCTCAAGAAAGGCACGCCCAAAAGTTCTCTGAAGCAAGGGTGAATGAATCATGACCGTTAGTGAAATCAATGGATAAAGAGAGGCCACGTCTGCTTTGAAAGATTTGGGTTAGATTCATTTCTTTTTGGGACTGGAAATACATAGAAACATATCTGGATTCTTCATAAATCAAGGCAAATACATTTCAGATGTTCTAAAAAAAGATTTCATATATGAAAAACGCTTGTCTTTGTCCCATACCCCATGGTGGCTGAAATATCCTTTTATTCATTTGAAGCCAGGTGAACCTCTAAAAAGAAAAACCATGGGGGCCCTTTAGTATATATTACAAATACAAGAACAGATATAGTATATGATGTAAATAGATAGTTTCACATTATCACTTCTTAAACTGTTTAAACTCAGTGCATTCTAAGGGGACCAAATTGGTTATTCTAAGGGTGCTGAAATACAATTTCAAACTTTGTGTTTTAGTAATAAGCACTAAGTTAAAGAACTCCAAACTTCTGTGACAATTTTTAACTTTGCACCGCACCTAACTTTTGTTTCAAAAGTTAGTTGGACAAAAAGCCAACTCAAACAAGCCAAAAACTTCAACTGTCCCACAAACCCATGTTTTGTAAATTGTAATGCGCGTTTTCTCCTTTCAACAAAAATCCAAACAAGTGCTTAGGCTATTTTTGAGATAGCATTGGACCATCTCAAACATACATTTAAAGGACAAAATGCATGTAAGACAAATTTCTTTTATTGGAATTATTGGCAGCTCAAAAATTACCTTGATCCCTAACCTGGGGTGAGGCTAAAACTATTTTGTTTTGGCATTTGCAATTAGTTGTATTAGGCTATGATCCCCTTGTCTCTATTATCATGCTCTCTAAACCTATCATTTCGCTTTTTCTAAATTTACTCTCCCTCTCTCCTTTCTCTTTTGCTTTTTTTTTTTTCCTTTGTTTTGTGAGTAAGCCCTCTCTCCTCTCTCTTGTTATACTATTTATACTATCTAAATAAGACTTTTTGATCAAATTTTTTGCTACATTTGATCTTTTAATTATTGTTTTGTTATTTGTAATTTATATATATTGAATATATCTAATTAAATTTTTTTAAGTATTTATAAATGTTTCTCAATAAGACATTAACTCCTTTTATTTTTATAATTATATTTTTAATTTTAATATTTTTTAAGTTATCAAATTATATCTCTATAATATTTTTTTTATAAAATTGGTTTTTTTTTTCAATCATCTTACATCTAACCTGTTTTTCAACGATGCTATCCCAATAAGTTTCAATTTGCCAAACTGTTTTTTCTTTTTTTACAAAAACTTATTCAAATGTAAATCACGTTATACTAATTTTTGGGAGAATTGCAATAAAGTCCTAAAGAACTAACATAATTATCAAAAAATCTCAATGATAAGTAAGTAACCTGTAATGAAAGGTTCCAAAATAGATAATAACAACTTCTCACTTATCATTGAGACTTTTTAGTACTACCTCCCGTCCTTAATATAAGAGCTAATTGACTAATTTGAGTAGATGAATGAAATTAGTTTTGTTAAGTATTTATAATAAATAGATGTTTGTCCAAAAATATCCTTGTTAATCAAATGTATTGATTAGAATTATTATTGTTACAAAGATTATCTTGAAAAAATAATAATAAATATGAAAAACAAGATAAATTGAAGTCTTATATTTAAGACCAAAATAAAAGTCAAACAAGCTCTTATATTAAGGATCGGAAGAAGTATTTATTTTCCTTAGAGTAGTTCTTCCTTGATTTTCACCCTTTCCTCAGTTAAAGTTAATTGGAATAAAATCCGCGGTCATCACTACTGCAAATAAGCCCTATTGCAATAGCATTAGCCTGTAATCCTTTGTATCATGCTAGAACTGCGCATACAGAAAACCAATAAGCACTTTATAAGGGAAAAAGACCTCGAGAATCAAATTCTGGTTTCCTATTAACCTTCAGTATAGTACTCTCTGGCTGTTCAAAGTACGTTTTGTCACATAAAACTGTACAAGGTTTTCAACGGTGCCTGACAAACTTAAAAGTAGAGTATAATAGGCTTCAATTAAGACTCTTCAACAGAAAGCAGTAATCGACTAGACCGACTGAAAATAAATTAATAACTTACATTTAAAATTTTTCAATATGATGTGCTGAAGAATCCCAAACAAAAAAAATGGGGAAAAATCAAACTAGCTATGTGTTTGTGTTGAGAATCTTCATTTTCATGCCAATTCATAGATTCTTCTCCAGATAACCCCATGGATTGTTGCTTGCCCAATTCCATTGGTCCCTGCACATCTCCTCTATGCCATATTTTGCCCTACAAAAATCACAGTACATTCTACCATTAAAACCTGAGATAGCATGATACATAATTAAAGGATTTCTTCTAAATCAGCACATTGGAGAAAATACATTTTACCCCCTGTAGTGATTATGACATTTTATGCATAACCTTTGAAATTGAAAAACCCGCTCCAAAATAATAATAAAAATAATACACATTATAACATTTTTAGTTACATTATTCACAAGCTATCAATAATAAGAATCATTCTTCAGATCCAATGCCATGCATGGGTGCTCACTAAGTTATTGGGGGAAAACCAGGAGGCTAATTATCTGTTCTGACATATTTTATTTAGGTTACTATAAAATAAAAAAAATATTATGGTGCTAAAATTATTTACTATTATCTTATACTTTTCTTCAATTGATGACATTGACATTGAGTTTAAACATTCTTTATTTCAAAGAAAAGTCAGCTTGAAACTCTGTGGCATTTTTAAGGAAAACGGTCAATTTTCCCCCCCAAATGTGTCTTGTTGACTTTTCATTCTTTGCTTTACCATTTATGAAAAGATATCATTATTATGCAGTGCTTTCCAGAGAGGAGTTATCACTTTTGTGATCAAACCTTTCGGAAGGTGAAAATAGGGTAGTTTAGGGTATCAGATGTATTTCATACCCTTAGCCAAGTATGGTGCAAGTGAGTTTAGAGTACCAATCTATTGGTCAAAACAGCTTTATAAAAATCTTGAATAATTTTTGTTAAAGCTGACTTCTGTGTTCAAAAGCTTTGTTCAAGTACTTACTTCCAACCAAGTTCTTTTTCAGCCTTCTCTGTCGATGCATAAACAGCAGTAGCATCTCCTGGTCTCCTTGGACACATTTTTAATGGAATTTTCTGTAAAATCAAAGAACTAAATTCATATTTGAGCTTCAGCACATAAATTTGCTTATGTGAGTAGGATGTACAATAACCTTTCCAGAGGCCTTTTCAAATGCTGCAACCATTTCAAGAACAGAAGTACCACGGCCAGTTCCCAAGTTGTAAGCAGTACAACCTAACAAAGTTGCCACAATTACTTTCTCTTGAAAGTAAATTAAGACATCATAGTAACTATATAAATGCCAAAAAGAGAACTCCTGTTGCAATTATAAGCAAGGGTGGCAATTTATGTCTGATCAAAGAGCAAAAATAACTTGAGTCAGATAAGTCAATGTCTGATCAGGGTATAAAATGGGTTTGAAGAAAACCTAAACTTTGTAGCTTTTGGGTGCAAGGTCAGGGCAGAGTAGTCCTCATCCGAGTCCTGCCCCAAACCTGTTTTATATCCTTGAACAAAATAAAGCTATTAAATTATTGATGCCAAGAGTCGAACTGAAGAACGAAGATGTTTGCTTTCAAATTGAGGTATGAATTTTGTATGAACTTATTGATCTAATATTTGCAGTATATGGGCAAATAGATTAACTTAAAAGATATTTTACAATAAAACAGAAGTAGTTTTTTGTTTTGATATATTTCTGTGTGGGACAAGACAGAGTAGGTATCAAATTATATAATACTCACAAATTTGAGTATCAGAGTGAACGAACAAAAATTATAGAAGAATGGGACGAGGATGCGCGTATTGGAAAACCCCACCCATTGCCTTTCCTAGTTATAGGATAGATTGATCCCTTTTACAGTTTAAAACACACACACACACACACACACACATGGAAAACGGGAATTACTCACCAATGTTCTCAGTTGCAAAAAGCTTTCGCAGGGCAGCAATGTGACCATCTGCCAAGTCCATCACATGGATATAGTCCCGAATCTGTTTCTCATAACCATAAAAGAGAAAAATGCGGGGGGAAAAAAGAAAGAAAGAAAGAAAAGAGTCAACATTCTTGAATGGAAAAGAAATAAATCCATGGTTATGTCTTTCTCTATGTTGCTGATGGTATTTGCACACAAAAAACAAATTAATTAGCAGGAAAATTAAAAAAAAAAAAACATACAAAACCTTGAGTGTTAAGCAGAAGTTGCAAATGTAAAATAAGACATCCGTAACATATTACAAAAATAAAAAAGAATAAAATAAATTAAGATTAAATATCAATCTTCATCTTTGTTCACATCACTAAGATCTCTTGTCTTGTGAGCTCTTGAGCCATTTCAAAGTTGTTTTCGCATGTTTGGAAGCATACTGGATCATGTCATAATGTTTCAAAGAGAATTGAAGGAAAACAAAAATTTGAATGCTAAAATATAATTAGCATATCAAACGGAATATAGGGTATAAATATTGATGCTTACTAGATTTCATTTATAAACCAGTTTAATGTTTCTGTTCATTCAGGACACGGTTATCATATGAGACTAAATTTTATCATAAGGTTTCTCTAATGCAAAAGGAAAGTACAGCAAATGAGGATTTTACAAACCGCAGTGCCATCCTTTGTGGGATAATCGTGACCATAGACATTAAGCTCAGGCAATCTGCCCACCGCTACTTGTTGTATGTAAGGCATGAGGTTATTTGGGATGCCCCTAGGATCTTCACCAATTTTACCACTTTCATGGGCCCCAACTGGATTGAAATATCTCAGTAAAATGATTCTCCATTCTGGCTCAGCCTTTTGAATGTCTCTGGCAATTTCTTCGAGAAAAAGCTATCAAAAATCAATGTGTCAGATTGCAAACAAGGGCAACCCACTACATCCAAAAACTTCCATAAAAAAGAGAGAAAGAAAAGAGAACAAAAGGCATAGAAGGTTGTGATGCTTACCTTGGTTCTTCCGTAAGGATTCATGGCTTGTAGTTTGTAGTCCTCAACACAGGGTATCTTATCAGGTTGGCCATATACAGTTGCAGATGATGAAAAAACCATCTGTTTTGCCCCCGACAAAATCAGATTATTTAGATCATAAGACAAATTCTCAGTAGAATTATGTGACGAATAAAAATAAGATTCACTTTTAATGATCAGGGGCAAAAACAGAAAGAAAGAAAGAAAAAGGAAGCTGCATTGTGTAGCTATAAATCTAATTCAGCATCATCATAACTTGAATAATACATGAGAACCATCTTCATATTGGAATGATTATGCATGAATCTTCATATTGGAAGACAAACTACACCCCTTTATTTCAATTGATTGCAAGAACAGGACCCAACGGTTGAAGCAATAGAAGTATGAGCTTACCTTTTTACAGTTATATTTTGCCATAACTTCATAAAGATTGATGGTGCCGATCAAATTGTTATCAAAATATCGACGGGGCTTTACAACACTTTCTCCAACAGCTTTTAGGCCAGCAAAATGGATCACAGCATCAAATCTGCCTCGTCATGACGGCCAATTGTTTTTTTTGGGAAAAAAAATCATAATTATTTGCAATTGCTGTAAACTAAAGACATTTAAAAGCAATTTAATTTGCATACTTTGTCTCAGAGAACAGTTTCTCCAAATCTTCCCTATTCCTGAGATCACCCTACAAACAAACAACGGCAATCTAGTGACAGTACTCTGAATATATATATATATGTATATAAGAATGCCCCCCACCTTAAAGAAAGAATTGATACTGAAAACGATAGATAAAGAATCACAGTATTTATGAGGATGTAATACGCGCATTGGACATGTTTTGAACATTAAATTTTGTTTTTGAAACATCCGTTCTCCTTAAACACAATAAAAGATAAAGCTCATACCAAATTCTAAACTACCCATCACATACCTGAGTGAACTCAACATTCTGAGCAAGCACAGGACCCACCAAGTCGCGAACCCGATTCACTGCTTCCATCACTGAATTATCAAAATTGTCGATGATGGAAACCCTAAATCCCTCACTGAGAAGCTGTATCACTGTGTGGGACCCAATGAATCCCGCCCCACCTGTAACCAGAATCGTTTGCCCGGCGAAGGAGGCCATTTCCCTCGACGCTCGTTGTCGAGCCTGGAAAAACTTTGAAGATTGAAGCAGAAAAGATAAGAGAGTGAGCTGATATGAAGCAAAGTAAATAAATTAACTTTGGGAAAAGAAAAGGTCGGGAAAGAGAGAAAAAGAGTGATTGTTGAAGACAACTGTTGGGCGGAAGTGAAGGAGATTGTTAGCAAGTTTTAATTTTTCTAGTTTGGATTTAGTTATCGTTAGTTCCTTTGCGCGCCCTTTCATAATCTTCGATTTCTACGTTGTGACCTCCGCTAATAGATTTTTGGACGGTTTTTTTCTTTTTTTCCCGGCTTTGCCAGCAGATTAGGTGAGTTTGTTATTTAAGTATGATAACATGATGTGGATATCTGACATATATTTAAAATTAAAATGATGAGAAACGTATAATTTTAATTTTAAAAAAAAACTCCAAGGAAGTATTAAATCAGAAATTATTATATTAATTATTATCAAAGTGTAGTAAACAAGATTGATTTGATATTTTAAAATTCAAAAAGTTTTTTTGGTTGGATTTTCTCTTTAATTTAATACTACCTCAAGTTCTTAATATAAGATCTCGTTTGACTTTTATTTTAATCATAATTATAAGATCCCAATCCATTTTGTTTTTCATATTTAGGTATTTTTTTCCAAGATAGTCCCTCTAATAATAGTAGTTCTAGTTAATAAATTTGATTAGCAAGAATATTTTAAGAAAAACAACTCTTATTTATTACAAATAACTAATTTAACTTATTTTTTTAATCTTCTTAAATTAGCTAATTAACTCTTATAATTAGGATCAGAGCCACTACATCATAGGATTAAAATATTCTCTCTCTCTCTTTGTGTGTGTGTGATCTGTGTCTCTGTGAATCCACCTTCATGCAGTGCCCTTTCGCCTAGAAGCCACTATAAATTTAAATTCTTCTCCAATTTTTCCTTTATTTTTATGTATTTTAAAATTTTATATTTATGTTAATATTGTAAATAACCAGATTACAAACACTATGCACGGAACAAAACGAGATGAGAAACTGTTCATTACTTGCTAATAATACAGCTTTCTATAAATCTATAATCGTTATCGCTGTTCATACATTTTCATCAGGCTCACCTTTCCTTTTCTTTCTTCCCCCCCACCCCCTATTTGGCTTTCCTAACTTGTTATGGGGCATACTTTATATTTTAAAATTTGTCAAAAGAACCACGTAAAAATTAGAGGTCACACAGTATGGTTAAGTTCCCTATACAAAATATAATCATCAAAACACGACATTTCTTCTGACAAAAAAAAAATAACGACATTTCTAATTCAAACCAATAAAATGGTTAACAACTAATAAGTTGAATATAGTACTTCCAATTCTTAATATAAAAATTAATTAACTGATCTGAATAGATTAAAAAAATTAGTTAAGTTAGTTATTTGTAATAAATAAATATTATTTTACCTAAAATATCTTTGTAAATCAAATGTGATTTGATTAAACATTTCACTTATACAACTATAACAAGAATTACTTTGAAAAAAATAAATAAATATGAGATACAGTAAATTGAGATCTTATATTCAAGATTAAATTAAAAATCAAACTAGTTTTTATATTAAGGATCAAAAGTAGTACACACAAGACAACCTGTTTTTCCCCTTAATACAAATGCCTTGGTGAGAGACCAAACACTGATCAAAGATCAAAAGGCATGAGCACGGGCGCGATGAGTCGTTCTATCAGCAAGCATGTTGTCTTCGTCCGAGTTACAACACATTCTCAGATGCGATGGTGCGGCTAGCATGATTATAACTCTTCAAGGGAATTTGATCCACGGCTGATTCTTGTGTGCTTGGATCGCTACATACCATAACTTTCTTGCAATTTGATCCGAAACAATCTTAAAAAATGCACAAGATTCCCAAAAGCTCCGTTGTGGTGCTAGGCAAGTGCATCCTAGTATAGTCATGAAACCACTAATCCACCTATATATTTTTATTGCATTGAAAGGCCTGATGTTATAAACAGGATTGAATCCCTGATCTCCCATTTACTAGAAAATACCCAATCCTCTGGGCTATAAGGCCTTTGGCATCCAACTATCATTTTGATCGTATATGACTGACCACAAATAGCCTCTCCCCAGTTTACCGTCCACATCAAGACACAACCACCTGGCTTCCAGTGATTTCCATGGAGTGCTGATCTCAATTACAAGCTTCCAGAGTCTTATTTTCTCATTCCTTCCATATTAGATCTCTTGTGGCTTACGAATCCAATATCACCTTTAGGGTTTTGTTGTTCAAGTAGATTCTTGCGCATAATGATTTCCACAAAAGCCAGCAAGTAGGTGTAAAGATCCTCTGTCACGGTAGCCTCCTGGTACATGTTTTTCCCGCCTCATTCCTACCATTTCGGATAATCCAATTCTGGCGACAACATTTAAGCATGTATTTACTACCCAAAAAAAGAAGCATGTGCCAGTGACTAACGTAGTTCAAGGAATCTGCATATAGTCATGCCAGTCAAAATTTCCAAGTTCTACAAAAGAAAATACACTTGAAATAATTTCAAATACTTGTTCTCAGTACCCTGTATTTAGTAGCGAACTATTTCCATTCTAATTGCTTGCTGGCCAAAAGCTAAATTACACACGCTGACCTCCATTGGTGTGCAAGGCATCATTCTCAACTTTAGATTTTAAGGACTTAAGGCACGGACAAATTCAAGTGTTGTGAATCTCCAAATCTCCATTAGTGGTTGAATGTGAGTTCCAAATACAGAATCTTGATAAGGTGAGATGTCCTGGACCAGTTTACTTACGATTATGTTACCAAAAGTCCATGCAAGAACAAGATCCATGCTTGAAGTGGTGAAAGCGATGGCGATCCCTAATCACAATAACCCGATCAAAAGCTCTACTAATCAATTTTGCGGCAATGTGGCAATCATTACAAATTCGCAAATTCTTCATAATTCTAATTGGAGTTGGTGGGGTGATGGCGAGAAGTCCAAATGCCATTGCAAGTTTCTCACTGTGTCTAGAAAGAGCAGTTTCCTTCTCTTCTTCATCAATGTCAAGTGAAACCTCAGTTGTATCTGGCGCATATCCCTCATCCTTCAATTTCAAGGCTACAACATCTAACATTTGCTCAATATCATGTATTCTAGAATGTGTCTTGTCTCCGGCAAAGAATTCATGAACCACTCCATTTGCTTCAATCATGCTACAACCTGGTGTCTTCACCACCCCATGTTCCATCATCTTTCCCCTAATCTCAAGAGCATCATTCCAATTTCCTTTTGAAGCATATATATTCGATAGTAACACATGAAAACCATCATGGTCAGGCTGAAGTTGTATGAGTTTTTTCCCCACCCTCTCACCCATTTCATTGTTACCATATTTCTTACAAGCCCCAAGCAAAGCACCCCAAGTAGCAACATCCGGCGCCATTGGCATACTTTCAATAAGTTCCTCTGCTTCTTTAAGCATACCTGCACGTGCTAAGAGATCAACCATGCATCCGTAATGCTTAACATTTGGCTCTATTTTGTGTTCTTCAATCATAGAACGAAAGTGGTGGCGCCCCTCATCCACTAGGCCCATGTGCCGACATGCACCAAGAACTCCCATAAATGTTATCTCATTCGGAAGCAACCCAGCCTTTTTCATATCCACAAACGTGCCAAGTGCCTTCTCTACCATACCATTCATTGCCAACCCAAGAATAAGAGCATTCCATGTCGAAACTCCTTTTTCCTCCATCATATTGAAAATCTCTAAAGAATTTTCTACACATCCACATTTCATATACATACTTATAAGAGTTGTACCCAATACGATATTAACCTTTAACTTATTTTTACTAATATAAGCATGAATCCATTTTCCCACGTCTAAAGCAGCAAGATGGGTGCATGCCAAGATTACACTCACTAATGTGATCTCATCTGGTTTGATTCCATGAAACTGCATTTCCCGAAACAATGCCAGAGCCTCTAAGAAACGTTCATGTTGAGCATACCCTGATATCATAGCACTCCAAGACACGATATCCTTCTCTGGCATGGTGTTGAATAATAACTCAGCATCTTCAACTAAATCACATTTTAGGTACCCGGATATCATAGAGTTCCAAGATATCCTGTCCAAGTGGATGCCATCATTGAAAAGCTTTTTTGCATCCAATATTTCCCCACAACTTGAGTACAAGTGTATCAAAGCATTTTGAAGGTTAACATAGGATTGAATTCCAATTTTCACAGCCAAACCATGTATTGATTTTCCTGTCTGGACAGTTGATAAGTGTTTGCAGGCGGAAAGAACACTTACCAGCACAACCTCATCCACTGTAATTCCATTTTCATTCATCTTCACGAAGAAAACCAATGCCCCTTCATACATTGCATTTTGTTCATAACAGGAAATCATTGCACTCCATGAAACCATATCTTTTTGGGGGATTTCATTAAATAGTTGACAAGCCTCAACAACATGACCAGTTTTTCCATATAACACAATCATAGAATTAGATGCAATAATATTTCTTTCTGGCATCCGATCATATATGTATCTTGCCTCCTTTACATCATCCATCTGAACATATCCTGCCAAAATCGAATTCCAAGAAATTTGATCCAACACAGGACTTTCATCAAAAATCTTGCGCGCACTACTCAAGCTCCCACAAACTGCATACATATTGATCAACGTATTCCTAGCATAAATATCTGAATTGAAACCCAATTTGAAAATGTGATTATGCATTTGTTTTCCTTCAAATTCTGAAGACCGAGCAGCACAAGATTGAAGTAGAATTGGGTAGGTGTAGTTATCTGGAATAGGATCCTTAATGAGGAACAATTTGTACAGATTTAAGGCCTCATGAGGGGAGTTTCTTTCTAAGTATGCACGCATCATAGTATTCCAAATGTACCCATTAGGGTTCTCAATATGATTAAAAATTTTGAGAGTGTAATCAGTGTCGATGAAATTTGAGTTGGTCGAGAACGTGATGATTCTGCTAGCAGCATATGTATCTTTGATAAATCCGGTCAGTACCATCTGGGACAAGATCTGGTTCAATTGCTTTAGAAATTGGCATTTCTGCAAAAGTGTCTCTAAGATAGAGAGGTTCATGGTTGGTCTGAACATTAATCCAGGATTGACACCTGATTTCATGGCTGCAAAAGTATAGCTCATAGAGAACCACAGGTATGAAGCCTGAAAGGAAATGCTCAAATATTAAATAATGCTAGCATTGTTCAATCGAATTCATTAGTTAAAAAGTCAATAGAAACTTGACACAATTCAGAAGCATCCATGAGTCATCATCCCAGACATTGTAATTATTTTCATTCCTATCACCACCTCATCCACCTAAATTCCCAAGTAAACACTTGCCTTGCATGCAAGCAAGAATATGCTGAATGTCCCCCAATTATAATGCATTTACAAACAATAGTGGGTAAGTAACTGACTTCAAACAATAATCATTCTTAGCAGATGCAGGCGCTTATTTTTACGAGGTTAAAGATTCAATAGAAAAAGACACACGAACTCCCAAATTCATCATTTCTCATGCAAAATATGAGTAGTTCAATTCTAATAAACCAAACAAGAAGGCAGAACCAGCATGTAATCCTGTAGTTAAAGCTAGCATAAAATAGTGAGACAATTATTATAAAGTTTATATTAAAAACCAAACTGAGGACTAAAGCATTAGGAATCAATAAAAAGAATGGGATTCAGCAAATAGAACATTCATAGATGATGAAGAGCCAGAAAATTTTATCATAACCTATCAAACGGATAAAAATTCAAGGACTTGGGAGTAAAAGCCCTGACCCAATTGTCAACAAAAAAGATCAAATTCAGAGCCTTAACCCGGTATAAAAGAAGAGGAAAAAAAAGATGACACAAACGAATCTGTCAAGTAGACATCATGATGGAAGAAAGCCACACCTTTATTGCCGCCAAAGAAAGGGATGGTAACTCCAAGGTATTTTGAACGCAACATTAAGATGAGAATGACTCAATGAAGCCTGAGAGGGATGCACCAAAAAAATCAAGCAAAATTACCCCACAAATACTATATAAATACAATACCAAGTTTGACTTAATGTAATTGTTCACACATAAATAAAGCATATGGTGATAAATCACATGGAGAAATGATGCCAGAGCAATCCCAAGCCTAACTCACTACATCTGCAAATTATGTTTTCCAAATTTTCTTTACACACATTTTTTCTCCTTTTTTTCTAATCTATGGGTGTATGATTGAGTGTCCTGAACATCCACATATTAGCAAGATGCAAACTCAATTATCAAACACCAATACTCCCATGCGCCATCTCATTTAACAATTAATAAATACTGAACATTTGGACTAACATTACAATCATCAGACAAAACCATTGGTACAGCCACCAATTTCACACGCGATAGAACACTAGCCATAGAAGGACCTATATCACATTAATGCGCATAGTTGATATAATACCCTTTTAATTTTTGTTCCAGATAAATTGAAACACCTCGAGCCAAGTCATTTACAAGATCATGCATCACAAATACCTGGAGAAATGTCTAAATAGATCGTAATATAAAGAGATTAATAAACAGAATGCCAGTGCACAACAAATTAAACATTGCAGAGCACCACAATCCAAAGCATACAAGTCGCTATCAATCAGAATGAAGAGGGCAGAAGTATCACACCTAATTACACGCCTTCAAGCAAATACTAGGAAAAAAAATTAAACTCAATCTGTAAATATTCCCAAATTCAAAGCGTCATATTCAAAAGATAACAAAACAAGAACTACCACGCAGGGAACAGATGACCGGGGGGACAAATTTAAACTAGATTCAAAGCCAGATTGAACGAATCAGTCTTCACTACTTGCACGAGAACAACCACGCCGGGCTGACGACGACAGACGGCGTCCGCCGGAGTGTGGAGGCCTTGTTCGTCTACAAAATCCGCCACCTGAGTATGGTGTTTTGTTCGGGTTATAAATTATAGTTGTACGAGACTCACTGGATTAATCCAGGGAAAATTATGCACAGGTCCGAAGGAAGAGATTTGTTTATTTAAGGTCCTACAAAATGTCAAAACTACTAGCAGGTTTTAAGGGACTTTAAAATATTTTATTCTAATTATAAAATTACATCATTACCCTCCAAATTTCCTATTCACATTTTCTTTGCTATTTCGATTAACAACCTTAGCAGCGACTATTAACAACCCACTGAGAAGGTGTTGACAACCTAAACAGTATCCGCTAGCAACTAACTTTATAGAATCACATAACCTCTATATAAGAATAAATTATAACCAAATAGTATAATATAACAATTTTAACACTGAAATGGAAAGCTTTTTGAAACTATTAAGAACTTTAACTAAACCTAATAAGATTATGGGAAAATGACAATAAAATACCACTTGAATTTCAAAAAGACAAATAAGGCACCTGAATAAGCAAAATGACAAATAGGGCACTGGGTACCAATCTGGAATTCATATTTTCGGTCAAAAGACCAAAATGCCCTGATGAAATGCGGGAAGACAGACGCTGAAAGTGAGAGAAAGGAGAGAGGAAGACCGATGCAGTGAGAGAAAGGAGAGAGGAAGACCGATGCCGATGAAATACGGGAAGAAGGAAAGAAGAATGTTGGAAATGCTATTATCTTACTCCTTCGCATCACCATTCTGTAGAGATTGTTGATTTTGGTTGTGGGAAAGAGGATTTGTAGTGAGAGAGGGAGTGAACCGAAGCGGAAATCAGAAAACAATGGCAAGCAATTACGTAACATAATTGCTGTCATATGCCTGCTGGTTTTTGGTAAATCCCACTACGTGAATGGTAAATTTCACTATACATGTAGTTAATTATGAAAGTTAATAGTTCAATGTTTATTGTGACGTACTTCAAATCCACGTTCACTGAATGATTTATTTATGCTTATAAGTTGCATTTCCGGTGAAAACAGGTTTACAAAACCCATTGAAGAAGTAGTCACTTTCACTATAAAAGTTGTAAATCCCAGTATATGTTTTATAAAATTTAACGTGAAATTTTATTGGTTTTTACAAACAAGTTGCCCATCCCTTGAAAACTGGTTGCAAAAGCCATTTAAGAAGTGGTCATTTTCACTATAAAAGTTGTAAATATCACTGTGTGTTTTGTAAAATTCAGCGTGAAATTTTATTGATTTTTAGAAACAAGTTGCTCATCTCTTGAAAAGAGGTTGTAAAATTCATTTAAGAAGTGGTAATTTTCACTACAAAAGTTGTAAATATCACTCTATGTTTTGTAAAATTCAGTATGGAATTTTATTGGTTTTTAGAAACAAGTTACCCATCCCCTGAAAACTGGTTGCAAAAGCCATTTAAGAAGTGGTCATTTTCACTATAAAAGTTGTAAATATCATTGTGTGTTTTGTAAAATTTAGTCTGGAATTTTATTGGTTTTTAGAAACAAGTTGCCCATCCCCTGAAAACTGGTTGCAAAAGCCATTTAAGAAGTGGTCATTTTCACTATAGTGGTTGTAAATTTCACTATACATGTAGTTAATTATGAATTTTACAAAATACATATTGTGATTTACAACTTTTGTAGTGAAAGTGACTACTTTGTTAATGGGTTTTGCAACATATTTTCAGGAGATAAACAACTTGTTTGTAAAAACCAATAAAATTTCACGTTGAATTTTACAAAACATATACTGGGATTTACAACTTTTATAGTGAAAGTGACTACTTCTTCAATGGGCTTTGTAAACCTGTTTTCACCGGAAAGGCAACTTATAAGCATAAATAAATCATTCAATGAACGTGCATTTGAAGTACGTCACAATAAACATTGAACTATTAACTTTCATAATTAACTACATGTATAGTGAAATTTACCATTCACGTAGTGGGATTTACCAAAAACCAGCAGGCATATGACAGCAGTTACGTTACGTAATTGCTTGCCATTGTTTTCTGATTTTCGCTTCATCTTTCCCACAGGTTCATCTTTCCCACAGCTTCACATTCTCTGAAAATGGTTTTATGCGAAGAACAGAGACAGAACCAAAATTTTTTAGAGAAATGCTAGGCAATACCATTTTAAGCTGTGGGAACCCATCAAAAATCAGCGTCTTCCTCTCTCCTTCCTCTCTTCTTCCCGATTTCATCAGCGTCTTCCTCCTCTCTCCTTCCCGTATTTCATCAATGTCTTCCTCTCTCTTTCCTCTCTCCTTCCTCTCACTTTTAGACAGGGTATTTTGGTCTTTTGGCCAAAAATCTGAATTCCAGATTGGTACCCAGTCCTCTATATGTCATTTTGCTTATTCAGGTGCCTTATTTGTCTTTTTGAAATTCAGGTGGTATTTTATTGTCATTTTCCCTAAGATTATAGCAAAATTTTAATGTAGAAATCCATTAACAACCTCAATGGTGAGTATTAATAACCTAAGGAGAACTGTTACAACCTAAGCAGTGTATGTTAATAACTAACTTTATAGGATAATATAACCTCTACATGAAATCAAATTATAACTAAATAGTACAGTATAACATAACAACTACATAAAATCAATTTAACCCTATTTAGTTATAATTTAGTTCGTTATAATTGTTAGAGGTTATATTATCCTATAAAATCAGTTATTAACAGACACTGTTTAGGTTGTTAACAGCTCTCCTCAGGTTATTAATACCCACCGTTGAGGTTGTCAATAGATCTCCGTATTAAAATTTTGCTATAATCCTATTGGGTTTAGTTAAAGTTCTTATGGTTTCGAAAAGCTTCCCATTTCAGTGCTAAAGTTGTTGTATTATACTATTTAGTTATAATTTACTCTTACGTGGAGGTTATATGATCCTATAAAGTAAATTGTCAATGGATATTGCTCAGGTTGTCAACACTTTCTCATTGGGTAATTAATAGTCACTGCTGAGATTGTTAATTGTAAGGGCAGAGAAAATATGAATTGGAAATCTGAGGAGTAGTAATATCATTTTACAATTAGAATAAAATACTCTAAGGTCTCTTAAGACTTGTTAGTAATTTTAACATTTTGTAAGACCTTAGATGAATAAAATCTCTTTCTTGGGACCTATGTGTAATTTTCTTATTAATTTAAGTAATTATAAACTACCTTAAAAAAATAGATAAATATAAGAAATAAAGTGAATTAAAATTTTATATTTAAAATCAAAATAAAAATAAAACAGGTTGTTATATTAAAAATTGAAGGTACTATTAAATTCTTTCCCTAGGCCTTAGGACGCTTTTTATAATTGATAATAATTGGGTTCAGCACTTTAACTCAAGTATTTTGCGGATCTAGTTCGAGGCATTATTTTATGAGCAATTTTAGTTTTGTTATTAACTACTAAAAAGGTTTATGAATTTATATTAAGTACCATAAAATATATTTTTAATATTTTTTCGAGTGTTGGATAAACAACAAAATACTTTAAAATATTAGATATACCTGAAAAAATTTCAGGATGTTGGACACATTACAAAATATTTTAGGATATTGGACGTATTTGATAAAATATTTCAAGATATTGGACAAACCGCAAAATATTTAAGTTATTAAACACACTTGACAAAATACTTTAGGTTCTGAATGCATCTTAACTCTAATTAATTTTAGGGTGAAATACCAATTAGGTATTGGTCGAAAATTAATGGGGAAATAATATTTTAATTTAACTTTATTTAGATTTTAATTTTTAAATTTTTAAATTAATAATTTAATAATTTTAGTCTCTAAATTTGACCTTATTTTGATTTGCTTAAAGAGTTCTTTTGTCCTTAAAGTAGTGTTTTCATTGGCGAAATCTTGTTTCAAAGCTAAAATTATTGATATCAAATGTCGTTATCCTAGATTATTTTTAATTCACAGTTTTAGGTTTAAACTAAAAGTTTCTGTCCTGTGTGATACACTAACTAGAATATTTGATTAAATTTTAAATTCTAATAAATTATATTATCTAAACTAGCTCAAGATTTAGGAGTATTATTTTTATTTATTTATTCAAATAAGATTTGAATTAGAGACGTGAAATTTATGAGGAACATATGAAAATTTAAATTTATTTATTTATTTCTCCATTTAAGCCCCAAGTTAACATACTATTCAATTATGATGCTCCATCTTTAATTCAATATATTCAAGATTAGTTGAATATATTTGGAGCCCATAATGTCATACCCAGCCAATTTTTAAACGAATCGAGTATTACATGTTTTTAAGAATATAATTGATGATTCATAATTAAAAGTACATATTTTAAAGTGAATGAATTAAATTGAAATATTGTATAAAATTAAAAAACTAAAAATATACTTTAGTCAAATGATATTAACTCAAAATTAATTACTGAAACAACAAAATTAATTAACCCAAATAATAATAAAATTCATTTTATTACTTTATGTTCACACTTTTAAATTTTTATATAGATATTTAGTACTGAATCGGATTCTAATATCAATAGAGTTGGTAATATCCAAAAAACTTGAACGAACGAGCGAGTGTTGAAATGAGCAAGTAGGTGATAGGAGGTCACGGAGGGAGTGACAGAGATAAGGGCAGTGGGAAAGACAGGGACAAGGGTGTGGAGAATAATACCCTGTTCAATTTCATGTTTGGAAGGTTGGAAGGGGCTATGAACATGGAGATGCCAAGTCTTACTAGTAATGCACCACCAACAAGAAGGTCTTTTCCTGCGTCCTATAAAGAAAAACTGCTTTCATTAGGATGGTCGGGCTACTTAATGAAACATGGA